GTCTACCAAACAGATCAGCTGCACCCGACTCAGCAAATCACTGAACTCAACTTTGCTGGGATGTGGGAAACGACTCTGTGTAAGCCTCGTATATACTTCATCAAAATTGTTTGTTTTAAATTCAAATTATCATCTTCCCCCTCACTATTTTTTGTTGTTTAGCTATTAGAGGCCTTTTAAAGCCCAAAACAGAACCAGACAAATAGTAGGGTACTTCCTAACAGCTGGGTGCTGCATGGGTTCAGACCCTTCTAGACTTTCTTCAAGCAGTGCAAAGACAATTCTAGTTTTTGTTTTGAAAGTAGCTTTCTCTAACACTAAAGTTTGATCAACTACGGGTTTTGTAAGCAACATTTGGTAAAATATTTTGCCCTCAGTCAGGCTTTAAAAAGGTGTTAACAAGTACTAATACTGTACGTTTGTGCAGCAGCAGATGTTCTAAGTAAGTAGTTCTAGAAGTTTACTTTCACTCGTCCAGCAGTACAGTTTCTGCAAGACAGCTATCAAGCAAGAAACAGTGCCACAGGGTCGGAGAATACTAATTTAGCTCTAAGAAAGCAGCAGGAGAATCCGAAGACCCTTACATTCATCTGAACACTTCACAAAGCTGTGCATTTCGCAGGATATAAAATGTATGGATTTAAGTAGAAAAGAAAAAATTGCATTACAAAAGAGTAAACCAGTAAAATAATAAATTCTGCACAGAGATACAAAGTTTTGTACAAAAATACAGTACAAAAATCTAGTTTATTCAGTCTAATCCACTTGAGGCTCCACAAAGATGCCTGATGTAGCAGCATGTAGAAAATAATTAGAAAATGTGGATAGCGAGTGCTACGAGAAGTCAAGACAGGGAATCGCCTAAAAGTTGTCATGCAGGTAGCACAACTGAAACCAAAATCCTGGAGTGAGTGGAAGTTCTCCTTTGGGATCTCTAAGGAATCCTCCTCCAGACTGATTTTGTGGAGTATTTTGAGCAACGACTGCCTAAGAAAGAGAGGGTCTTCCAGGAGCCTGGAGGCATCAGAAGACCCAGCCAACCTACCAGAAACTGCCATAGACTCAACAGTACAGAAAAAGTAAAGCCACTCACTTGAAGGCTGTGTTTCCACCCAGATCTCCGGGCCGCTCACGGAGGAGAGCAGGGAGGACAGAGTGCAGGTGTCGAGAGGGCCGCGGGGCTGCTCCTGCGACGCTGGCGTGACGCAGCTGCGAGCTGCTGCTCAGGCTGCACTGCCAGAGGTGCCTCCCGCACAAACAGGGACACTCGCACCTGGAAAGGCTGCTGCAAGCCAGCCCTGCACGCTCGGCCGCCCAACACAGCGACCAAGCACAAAAAGGTGAAGGAACAAGGTGAATTGCCCAAAGGCATGCAGATTTTGCATAGGATTAAATACTCCAGTCTAATGGCTAAGAAAAGACAGAATTGCTGTTCGCAGATACAGCAGGAGAACAAATGTTAACAAGAGAAGAAAATCACTTTATCCAAGAACAAAGCAACGTCACTGGCACAAAAATAAACTGACCGTAAACATGCTGAATGTTGGAAGAAAGAGCTCAAATATCCGAGCACTTAGAGGCTGCGGTCTAATTTCAATTCCTTTCAATGACAGAATGAGAGAAGGAAAATAAATATTATTGATAAAGCCGTAGACTAAGGAATTTTTAGAAAAATAATTATATGGGATGACTGCTTGCAAAGCAGGGAGACTATTTTAAGGCAGCAGGCTTCTGCAGTTGTTCTCATGGAAAACCTTCCATAATTACACACACGACTGGCATTCTGTGTTCAGCGGGAGCGCCGCCGTCACCAGCTCCCTGGCGCTGGGTAAGGGCGCTAATTAAACTCTAATTGCGTCACACGCAACCCCAGATCTTAGAAGGGTGTTCATCCTCCTCCTCCTCCTCGCCAAGGAGCAACATCCCAGCTCTCAAGCTGAAGCTTCTTTCTCTGTCCAAGGCAACTTTTTCTAGCAGGTCTGCTCCCAAAAGACAAATTAAAACCAAGGGGTTTTTAGCAGAGTTTCATGCCAGAAGAGCTGCATGAGCAAGTCAGAGCTAATAGCTGGGAGACCTTTCCTTGCTGAACGAGGCAGTGGGTGAAATCAGCTTTGAGTTTTTAAAAAGAGCACCCGAGAACTTACCAAAAGCTATGTGAGCCTTGGGCCACAGAACAAGGGGGTGTTTTTTAAAGAAGAATCTGAAATGCACCACATGATGCTGCTTTATAAAAGATAAATGCCTCATTCTGCTTCCTGCTTCACAGCAGCAAAACTTTCTTATTTACAAGCTGATAATACGAGGCTGTTTACTTTTAAGTTCAGTTTTGTATATAGTATTTAGGAGTCGCGTTATAAATGAAAAAAGAGTTTTAAATCATTCTGACTTAAAAGACTTTCTTTTTTAAAACCACACGCATGCAAAACAGAGATATAACAAATGTTTAAAGAAACAGAGAAAAATTCCTTTGGAAAGTCAAAACCACTTTTCTCAGCAGTTTCATTTCTCAGCTGTTCTTCCATCTCGAGCTTTGTGCTCGAATGCAGATACATGAAAGGGAGTAGAAATCAATTACAAAAGTGAAACCAACTTGTCCGTTTTTATTATATAGAGAAAAAAAGCGCTTTTCAAATACCTGCTTTGCATATTTTGCAGGGTAAAATTACAGCAAGAGGTGCTGGCCTAGGGATCAAGAAACAAAGGCATTAGCACAACACAAACAAAGGCCCAACTAACTTTTGGATGCAGAGACAAAAGTGAAGCACTTACTGTTCTCAAGCGAAGGTTTTTACAATGAAGAGCTGAAAATACTGCCAGGATGTGTATCACAACAAGCAGTAATAACAACAACAAAAATAAGCTGCATATGAAAGATGGTAGCTATACATTTATCTGCTATTTCTCCATAAAGCAATTACCAAAAAAATATTTCAGGAATATTTGGAATCAATATATAAAGAAGTCAGGTATCTTAATGGAAACTCAACTGTAAGAATTCAACAGACAAATAGGTGAGAAAAAGTGGCTCCAAGAGATCTAATGCGCCAAGACAAAGTCTGCAGAATCAAGCATACCTGCAAAAAGGTTTTCAAGGGCAACATCAAACACCGGAATGCAACATCTCCCAACAGTTGGCTTTTTGGTTTTTTTTCCTCTTTTTTTCAACCCTCCCCCCACATACCAGCACTAATTTGAATTTATGCAGATGAATTTATCCCCAGCTGAACTTCACAGTCCGAGTTTTTGCTAGACTATATTTAAAAACTGAGCCACAAAACAGACCCAGGTGAAGTACTCACAGCAATGTATAATGCAGCTCAACTGGCTGCATCAGTGATTTTTTTCACACAGCTAGAAACACTTGATACGCTTTTTTGTTGCAAATGCCAGCCCCACCCTTTCCACAGTGATTCTCTGATCAGGGAAAGATTCAAAGAGACTATTAGACTTAAACTGAAATGTCAAAATAATGGGTCAACCTTGTAATTCCTTAGTTCTCCCAGGGGAAATTCCCAGGATGGCTGGGATGCTAGTGCCAACTAGAAAAATCTTTTTTTTTTTTTTCCTCCTCAAATCAGAAGATACACAAAGCTAACTATTTAATTCTTGCCTAGAGGGAAAAAAAAATGCTACTGTGGCTATGAGAGAGCACGTTACAAATGCACCTGCAGGGAACCAAAGAGGGGGCCTGCGGTGCCCGGGCTCCTGCAGGAGCTGCTGCCTGGGCTGGGCCCTGCTGGCCACTGCGCTTGCAGTTTAAAAAGTCCCCAGGATTTCCTGGCATCAAGAACGTGTTATCTTATATCTCTCATATATCAAGATGCAGGAGCACCGCTGCTGTGAAAGATGAGCGAGGGATCCAAACAAGCGCAGTTACCAAACTCTGCAAAAACTACTGAATACAGGGACTAATTTGAGGGATGCTTGTCCTAGCCAGGCAAGAATTAACAGGAATAAAAATCCCACACCAGCCGTCAAAAAGAGGACACAGGAATCCGCACTAGCAGCACAGCATGGACTAAACATCTTATGCAAGTTTCTTTTGCCCCACACACACACACTTTAGTTTCTTAATACAGAAACTTTCTCGTCTTCCTCCCGACCAGAGCACTAGGCCTGCTTTTATTTGAAAATCCAGAAGGAAAACACATTTGTGGTATCATCTCCTTTTAACAAGGCACATAACTAGTAGGGGGATAGGGCACGAGACCAGTGTAACAAGAAGTTTCCATGCCTCAGAACCCATTTGATGCAGCTCTGGACAACCAGCTATTCTAGCACATTTTCTATAATAAAGTGCTTAAATCAATAACTCACTTTTAAACTATTTCATGTTTACCTGTCAAAACTTTGCAGTGTTTTTCAGGGAAAAAAATCTAATTCCTTAAAAAAAATCATCAACAATACATACAACATGTGGTGACACTTTATATTCACATTCTCTGTATTAACATAATATATTCATGACTCATAAAAGGCAGCCACTTTCCTGAATCATTAACCTACATTATCAACTGTGTTGGCTTCCAGCAGCTTACTCAGGACAACAGCACTGACTTTACCTCTTCTACCTCCTATGGTCATACCCCTCTGTACTGTATTACTCATGCCCGTAATGTGTTTATAACTTTTAATAATTTACAGCAGTTCATAAGTGATTTATAAAGAAATCTTAAAATAAAATCTGTCTTTGTTCTTTCCAAGTATTTAGGCTCTGAAGACACGCCATGTGACAGAACAAGGCAAACACGATAAAAGTTACAGTTGATTTTTGAGATAGCAGATGAGGAGAAAAGGGGTTTTGTTTAAGAAACACATGCATGGCATCGATCTCTCTTAGCATAAGCTAACATTGCAACAGTATGATCAAGGGCATAATCTTATGCAAATTTTAAATGCAAAAAGGCACCTCAAGAAGCAGCACTTCCTGCGTGCTTAACCAAACTGCAAGGGGAACTGAAGCCAAAAGAGCGACATTCCAATGCGCGTAAAGTGCTTACCAATTTCAGCAGGTAGTTGCTTGATTTTGTTCTCTCGTATGCTAAGCATGGTGAGTTTTGACAAGTTTTTGATATCCTTTTCCACAGTAGTTATACGATTAAAGCGTAGGTAAAGCGTGGCGAGCGAGTGCAGCCTGTAGACCACGGCGGGGATTTCTCGAAGCTTGTTATGCCGCAGGTCAAGCATGCGCAGTTTCTTCAAGTTATCGAGAGAGTCAGGCAAACTGGTGAGCGAGTTTTCGCTCAGCGCCAGTGTCACCAGGTTCACGAGGCAGCCCACCTCTGCCGGGAGGGACTGCAGTTTGTTACTGTATAAATAAAGTTCCGTTAATTGCGTTAACTCCTTGATGGCCGACGGAAGCATGTGTATCGACCTCTTGGACAAGTCCAAGCGCATGGAATTCTCCTCCCGGCATTTGTTTAGCTCTTTGATCACTTCAGCATTGCTGGATTTTTTGCGGGTACCTGTGGCTGGGTTAGGTCGTTTTATCGTATTGTCCACTGAAAAGGCCACCCCAGGCTGCGTGCTACTGGAGTCCTTCTTTCCATCTTTGGCATCTTTCCCTTTGGTCTTAGGCTCCTTTTCTTTGCCCTCTTTCCCAAATCCTCCAGAGGCCTTGGCCTCCTTCTCCCTTTCTTTCGATGACGGGACTTTGGGATCCTTCTCCTTACAGTCTTTTTCTTTTCCTAGATTACTACTCATGGTGACTCAGTGTTCAGCAAGCACCACATGAAATCCGTCTCCGACGCTGGCGATTCGCTGCCGGGGCTACAAGGATCCTGCCAACGTGTGAGCGTTGAAGCAAGGGAGGAGCGTCCGAGCTGCGATCCCCATTTGCTACATGGTGGTTCTGAAGGCACTCTTTCCTAATCCTGATATCAGAAGATTCAGCTATTACAGATTAGAAGGTCAAACGCTCCATATTAGTATTTCTGTAACACAGGAGAGAAAAGAAGACAAGGTTAGTATAAATATAAAACGTCCCTTGCAATTAAACATTGAATGCTTCTACACCAAGCTTCTGCTGGCTGTCTCCAAATGGCAAAACCCAGCGCAAATGCAAAAATACTATGTGTATTGTCCAGAAGATCCACTGTCGTGAAGAAGCTGTACCAACTAGTATTCGCAAGGAAAGAAAGATACAATTCTGAACCACAGTATTGTCTTCTTGAGTACATTTTAGTCAGTAACCTTACGTGTCAGCAATGTCTTGGTGTAACAGCCCGGGCATCAACAGAAACACTCTCTCCACTCCACGCCTCATCAGTCAGGAGGGATCTGTCACAATTTCAAGTGCCTGTTTCTTTCAGCAAACCTGTAGGGCCTCATTCTTTTGGCACCAAAGATCCTCGGTTCGATCTCCAGGGACATAATGCACCGCACTGCAAGACGGACACGTCACGCAAGGTCTCTTCTGACCTACTTTGGATCAGTTCTCCACCCTGGGCACGAAGCAGAACGTTGCACACGATGCACACCACAAAGACGTCAACACAAAGAGCTTGGAAACTCTGCAATAGATAATTTTTTCAGATAATCCTATCAAAAAGTCAGCTGAAAGCTGGCTAGAAGGAATAATAATATCTAACGCTAGAAGACAGGCAAAATTAGGAAGGAATTTCTCCTGAGAGCAGGATATAACTTATCTTAAAAGCAAACACTATCTTGAGCTCTTCTCCAATGAATCTGATGCACACTAGTTACTGGAGCGTTGGGCTGGAACCTACTGTCTACGATCCAAGAAAGCCAGTTTTGATTCCTGCTTCAATTCAAAACCCCTGAAACACACAAGAACCTCCTGATTCGCCATACTCTGAAGAGGTCTATAAATGCATTTTTGTGGAAGAAAATAAATGGTCAATTAACAGCAGCAGTAATTTTGTGTTCCCAAGTCAGTTCACCTGAAAGGCTGAAGCCTGAAATCATTTTTTTTGGTTGTTATGCAACATTTACCAATGACAAAAATATCACCCGCATTTAAGCGGAGCGTCCAGCTACAAGAGCTATGAAAAAAAATCCCTTAAAGCCCCCACAGGAGCCCTGTCCCTCTCACAAGGCTCCATCTCCTACAGCAGCTCGTAGAGCTCCAGTCCAAATCAGTGAAATAATATTTTGTATATTTAAGCAGTTAGAAAGTACAGGAGGAATAAGCGGCCTACAAGAGGAAAGGCGGCCCAAGCCACGGCCTACCACTGTTTTACCATATCTACCATATCCACCGGTGCTATTCCCATACATTTATGTAAACTTGTGGAGGACACGAGCATAACTACATACGCTACAGAGGAAGCCGGGTATTTTTCAAAAGGTTATTCATATTTTTCAAGCTCTTTTGATTAAAGGACAAGAGTCACCCTCAATTCTAAACTTGACTCAAACAGGCCGTCATTGTATCTCAAGAGGAGAGCTTCTTTTAGAGTTATTTTTAGCAAAAGGAAATTCAGTGAAATTAGCCAGTTCTGCCAACTACTTCCATTTTCCAACGCTGCTCAAACTGACTTCCTGGTAATATTAATTGACATAAAAACATTTAACTATTACATGCTGGAGGACTTGGCAAACCGAGTAAGACTCTTGCTTGGTGCAGCGTATAAAGGAAAAACAGAGTCTTTGAAAAGTTAAGGAAAACAAATCTTTCCTGTTCTGAGTATATTTTAAGTAAATTTTTAAATAGCTATAAATTACCAGCATAAAGAATTTTCATTCAGTCATTTTGATGGCTATTGAGTATAACCAAGGGTTTTTTTATATTTGTTTCTATCAATTGTAGAGAAATATGAGAAAAAGAAAAATCAAGCTAAGCTGTATCACTTCTTTCACTGCTTGAAAAACACATCAATCTTGCATTTTTTCCTCATTATTTTAATACGCACAAGTAATTGAATAGAGATTTCTCTTACTCTGAGCAATATAGCCCAATATATATACATAGTAATTGCTCTATTAAAAACTTCATAAAGTAGGAACAATAATGTCTGCAATTCCAGGAATAATATTAAACTAATCACCTGCACCTTAGTAATATGAATGCTCACGTTTTGTGGTCATTATCTAATACCATATGAGCCCTGAGATAAAGGATTTCACCCAACTGCTCTGCAAAGAAGGCTGTGAGACTTAACTGTCTCCTACCCACCACTGGAAAGTAACTTGACAGCAAAAAAAACCCCACTTGGCATTGCCACTATAACCTCACAGCTCAGCAAAGACTTCGAAGACTTTCCCACAAATGCATCTTTTAAAGAGGATGTTACGCGGGGAAGGGAAAAGTTTATCTGTTTCTCAGGAAGCATTTCACGGCACAACCTGCCTCAGAATCACTACAGACGCCTTGGTAGTTTCTTGGGCTCTGCAGCGTCCAACAGGCTGCATCCATTCCTTAGGAAAGCCACGCGCAGGGACACGCCGGGACAGCGAGGCCAGGGTGCGCCGGCCCTTGTGGGTCTCCTCATGGGCACAAGGGCAGCCCCTCGGAGCAGGCGCCCTGGAGCGTCGCTCCGGGGCCTTGGAGGAAGCTCTGGGTCCCCTGCGGCTTTCAGCAACACGAAGCCTCCTGCACGCTCACAGGGGGCCTCGGAGAAGAATCATAAATTAAAATGCCATGTTCCCACCACACTTAAATAACCCCTTTTCCGACAACGAGAGCAACCAACAGCAGTGCTTGCTGCAGAAGGAAAATCATCACGGTGCCTCCTCACACCAAAGAGCCCCCTTTACAGCTTGGCTTCAACATTCACATGTTCCTGTTGTGCAGTTCACTGACAGACACTTCCAAACCTACGTATACGACACGCTCACAGTATTCAATATAAGGCACTAAATATAATATTTGCACTAAAGCTTAATACACTCAACTCAAATAACGTTCCTCCTTAACGAGGCAGCAAGTCTATAAGCCAGCAGAGTACAGAGTAATACTTCAGTACGTGAGTAACTTTGTATCATAGAATAGGAATGGTTTTTCTCTGTTCTAATTGCTGCACAAAATTTAACCCTAACTTAATAGAGCATACACCATGGCTTGGACTCTTGAAACCAAATGATAGCGGAGCATCATTCAGAATATTAAACATGTCAAAAAGAACAGAAAGAAACCAGCTCATAAGTAACACTCTGAAGTAAACTACATAGGAAAAAAGAAAACAATTTTGAGGTGGAATTTCTGATCTAGCTACTTTTAATTAATCAGGACCAAGCAGGGTTTAGCATTTAGAATTCAAATGCTCACTAGTAGTTTCCGTGACCCTGTTCACAAACAAATAGCAGACTAACAAAAACACCTTCTCAAAAGAATTTACCCTTTACAGGGAATTCCATGGGACATATCAAAAGTATTCCACCACACCACAACCTAGAGCACGTCAATACGCACTAGATGAGATTTCCAGCTTAGCCAAAGTGGTTACAAAGACTTTCCATTAGCAATACCACATAAGCAAGAAAAAAAAAAATGCCACTACTCTCATTTCAAAACCCCAAAAAGCTTAAATCAACTAGTTACTTGCAAACAAAGCAAATTCTCACCCACCATTTACCAGCTTCAACCACCTGGCCAACTGAGTTTTCATGTGCCCAAGAGCACGGGGCTCCTGCCGCCGCGGGGCCAGCCCAGCTGGCAGCAAACAGCCGGTTCAGCCACGCAGCGGTCGCAGTGCTCCTTCGCACGCCAAGCAGCGCGGGAAAGGCGCGGACACGGCAGGGGAGCAACTCGCCAGCGCAGAGCCAGGGACGAAAACGCAGCCTCAGCTACGCCGAGGAACGTGGCGCTCCCGGAATGTGCCCGCTAGCTGCTCTTCCTTCGGAAAGAAGAATCCTGTGTTTTGTCGGGGAGAGGACGGGCAGCGGCACAACGCTGCGATGGTTTCCAGCCTCGGACCAACGGCCGGGTTGCTGGGTGCCGAGGACAGGCGTTCGAGGGCCCTGGGTGCCGTAAGCGGAGTGCTGGGCACACACGACCAGCGCAGAGCCCAGGAGCAGCTCTGTGCCCGGGGCCGCGCGAGGCAGGGACAGCGACAGCCCCTCCTGGGGTCTTCATCTGCCAAGGACGGCGGCCAAGACTATTCCCGGCCTCCTGCTACTCCCAAGGATGCGGAACAGCCAAGTACAACTTGATCCTGCACTGAAGCAAAACCAGGAGGCAGGCGGAAAGACTGCACAAACACTAGGAAAATGGCACTGACAAACAACCATGTTAAGGCTTGCATATGTTTAACTCATGGTTTCCGAAATTGCAGGCAAACCTGTAACTGTGACTGCATAATTACAAACACATGTGCAATTAGAGCAAAACTTACTACACATACGCTGATCAATTTACAGAGGTGTCTGTAGGTTGCTCACTTTGCACTTTCCAAGCAGCCCTATCCCAGAGCACATCTTATCCCAGCTTCCTGCACCAGCCCTCGGTTACACAGACGTTGCTGTCACTAATCGACTCCCCAGTTTGCCTTTTCCTTCACCGGCCGCGAGATCTGCCGCTCCACCGCACGCCATGTCACAGACCGAAGTCCAAACCTGACAGGACAAAAAGGTTACACACTCGTAAACAGAAAGTCACCCAGGTTTTAAGTCCTTAAAGGGCGTAGAAACGGTCGTCTGTGCCCTCCTGAACTCATCGAGCATCATATAACCCTGCCTGACCGTGGAGCACAAAAACATACACAGACCATGACGCATTTCACACGCACTCCAGCACTCTTTTATGAAGCATTTGGGGTATTTTTGTTGCCTTTAAACAGAAAAAAAGACAACCATTTGTCAGCTGAATTTCAAAATGCCTTTTCAGGTATTTGTAGAAACGGGCTCTAAGAGCAAGCAGCAAGAGCTGCTGCCTCCCCAGGGCGGCTGCTGTTCCCACATGAAGATGCAGCTCCCACACGCGTCCCGGGGCAGGCTCTGTTTGGGCTCCGTGTCTTTGCTTCCACAGT